TTCAAGTCATTGTCCTGCTGGAAGACCCATGACCTCTGCTAGAGATGCAGCTTTCTGACACTGGCCACTACGTTGCGCACCAAAATTCTTTGGTAATCATCAGATTTTATGATACCGTTCACACAGTCATGGCATCCAGTGCCAGAACCAGCATAGCAACCCCAAAACATCTTTGAACTTCCACCATGTTTGACTGTAGGGATTGTGTTCTTTTCTTTGAATGCCTCATTTCTTTTTCTATAAAGAGTGCCATGATGTCCTTGAGGAAAAAGTTCTCCTTTTGTTTCATCTGTCCACGGTATGTTCTCCCAGGATTGTGGTTTTGTCACATAGGTTCTGGCATACTCCAGTCTTGCTTTTTTATGGCTTTCTGTCAGCAAAGTCCTGTGTCCTCCTGGGTCTCCTACCATAGCGTTCCTTTTCATTCAGATGGTGACGGATAGTGCAAGCTGACACTGTTGTACCCAGTGTCTGCAGATCAACTTGAATTTGTTGGGAAGTTAATCTGGGTTCCGTATCCACCATTTGAAAAACCGTTGTAATTTTTCAGTAATTTTGGTCTTCCATCCACATCCAGGAAGGTTAGCTACAGTGCCATGGGCTGTAAACCTCTTGATGATATTGCGCACAGTGGACACAGGAACATTAAGATCTCTGGAGATGGACTTGTAGCCTTGAGATTGTCGATGTTTTTCCACAATTTTTTCTCTCAAATCCACAGACAACTCTTTACACTTCATTCTTTTCTCCATGCTCAGTGTCACACGCAACACAAAGGTTGAGTCAGGTCTTCTCCATCTTAACTGGCTGCAAGTGTGATTACTATATTGCCCATACCTCTTACTTGTTACAGGTGTGTCTAAACACAAATTAAAGGAGCATCACATGCTTGAAAAGCAATTATTTCTTACAATTTAGACAAGATGCCAATAATTTTGGCCAGTGCATTTTTTGGGTTTCTGTGTGGGATTGTATCAGATTTGACTTTTGTTCTCTATTTTTTTGTGTTGGTCCAACGCAAACCAAAGAAATGAACATGTGAGTACTAAAGCATTTGCAACTGCAACCGTTTTCTCAGAGAAGGGTTGTATTTTCTGACATAATTGAAAGGTTGTCAATATTTTTGGCCATGACTGTACAACTGAAACATCTCCTTCATTAAGCTGTTACTTGATTGTAAAGCCAATTTTCTATATGTGATCTTTACAAGAGAATATTACGCATGTATCTTATCCATAATAAACATTTCAGATTAAAATGGGCATAACAATCTGATATGTCAGAAGAGATCTATAATTAAATCTGTTACATCTTCCCAATGAAAGCAGCAAAAATTAAACTAAATTAAAGGACTAGGAAAAATGATATAATTAAGATTAATTTGTTTGCTGACTATTCATTATTGACTGTATTTTTTTCAGAAGAAAATTGGACAAGAATATTTCAGCAATCAAGAATAATTTAGCAAAATATTTGAAAAAATGATTAAATGTATGAGTATGGGTCCAATCAGATGAAGATTTAGCTCACTTTTTGGAATGTATATGGCACAATTTGGTTCAAAGTATTTTCAGACAACTAGGTAATGTACAGGATATAGCAAACCAGCCTGAACGTGCTCTTTGCCCAACATGGACCTTTTCAGTCCAGTGGCAAGATTGCTCTCTTTCTGGTGCTGGGCTGGAGTGATCAGGACTAGATCACATATGGGCAGCAGGATCACTTCAAAGATCACACCCAACAAGCAATGCTTTCTGGAATGATCCAGCATAGTCACTTGATTGCACTGTATATCTGCAAAATACAGCCACAACAATTCCAATGTCACTTTAACTGCTTTAGATTCATCCTATTGAATACTGTAGTTGAAAATCAGTGTGGTACCTAGAATTCTGCTATACTTCAGGGGAATACTATAGAGTTCTCTAGCAGTTCATCAAATTATGAATCCCAAGATGGGACTATGTCCATAGATTGGCACTATGATAGCTAATGTTGAATAAAAGTGATACAATTGTACAGTGCAGGTACACTCCAGGATTCCCAGAAATTGGAAATTACTATACAGCAAGATAAGGGGAAAAAACAAACCACTGACTGTGTGTAAGAACCACTCACAGAAAGGCCAACAAGGACATTTTTATGATTAAATTAATCATAAAATTGTTTAAGTATATCTGTTTATTATTTATTCCTGGCGGATTCCAGTTTTGAAATGTCTTTACCGATATATTATTGATATGTCTCCACTCACATATTTTGATAAAGTTCCTGTTGGAATACCACCATCCTGTATCACTCATCTTGGCTGACTAACAATTTATCCAAAGGAACAGACTGCCACACCCACTAAATGGGCATGTACATATTTGCAGGCAATTTGGTTTGTTTATTTATCTCTGTGTTTGAAAAAATGAATACACAGGGCCAAAGAAGTACTGGAAGGCTGAAAAATTCAAATAAGAAGTTACAGAAATCTATAGAAATGAGAACCAGTGAGAAAAGCAGTTCTCAGTTCCCGTACTTCAAGGCACATACTCAGCACCAATTAGGGCAGACTTGCAGAAGTTGTAGCCCAACCACTGTGATCTATCCATGTCCACAACAAACTCCTCTACCTCAGATAGGAAAAAAACAAATGGTCTAGCTGAAAGGTTGCAGGGCAAGTGGCTCACTAGTTGTACACACCTTAACAAGAAGCCACGGGGAATTGATGCTTCACCAAGTTGTAGAGATAGGCTACATTTGTATTGTTCTTAATAGAAAAGCATTATCAGTTCATATTGTACAACAGTAGATGTGCTTGAACTTCTGATAGTAATACAAAGTGAATGCATTTTTAGAAACTTCTGCAAGTTTGAAAAACTTGTATTATTTGAAAAAATGTATTAGATATGTAAACAGCTGCAAGTAATGCTTTTGCAAAAGGAAAAAAATCTGATGGATATTCTTATACACAGAGTTTGGGTGTATAAGTAAAACAAGGAGTCCCTAATTCAAAGGAAATACCTCAAAATGCATACAGGACAACTCAGCTAACCGCACCTAACTTGCCCCAGAAATTTCAACATAACATAAATACTAACATTCAGTAGATTGGGTCACATTATAAAGCAACATTCAGGAACTTTCATTGGATTTTCCTCAGTATTGTAAGGATTTCATTCATATACAAATGTAAATGGTTCTTGGTCCACAAATTCATCAGATATTCTCTCTCACAATAATTGCCAATGCAGTTTCTGTGATTAAAATAGTAACATGTGATACAGATTTAGCTATCATAATATAAATAACTTACACATAGGAACTATTATCTCAAAATATTGCTATTCTGATTCTCCAACTCACAATCCCTGACCATCCTGCAATTGAAATTGTTTTACAAATTAGTAACATCTTACAATTAATAGATTCCATTACTGGATATGTTACTCCAGCCACAAAAGACAGTACCATGCTAGAGTAAACATGATTGTATTATTCAAGTTCAGTTACTCAGCTACTCTATGTAATCATCCTCATTTCAACAGAAGTAAAAGCCTACTATTAGTCAGAGGAAGAACTAAAAATCCCACTAGAGCATAAAAACAGATGATAAGCAGTTTTAAAGTTTCCACTGAGTGAATATATGTATTCATACTGACATGGGCTTTTCTGGCAGGGAAACAAACACCTGGATCAAGCCTTCTCACACAGCAGGAAGTTTGACTTAACCACTGGTGTTTGTAGGTTTGTATATAAAAGGTAATAAGCAGCAGACTTGAATTCATTTATGGCTGTAGCACCCACACTTTGCGGATAACTTAATTTTTCAAGGATGATGGGAACTGTGTGAATTTCACAGAAGGAATGTATTAGAAGCAGTAGGCTGCATTTCCTTTCTTGATCAAAACAAGCCTTTCTGAAAAAAGAAATGTTTCATTCAAACATAAAGTCAGTGCTTTAAGATGCTCCCCTGCTTTTATTATTTTACTACTGACAAGTTATTCTGGAGGAACAAACATTATATCCTCATTTCAACTCTCAGATTGCTTCTTCTGAGGTGCCTACAATATAGAAAGGGTACACCATGACAAGCACCACTGTCTTCACTACAGTCACTTTAGCTGTGTCCTCACTTATTCTATACACATTTAAGAGTCACAGAAAAGAAATATACAGTACGATCCTGTAAATCCTCTGTCTTCAATACAAGCACTCTTCCCGGAGTGTACAATGAGCTTACATTCATTCCAGCTGCTTTACCCCTGCCCACCATCTACTCTCCCCATCAAACCCCCCTCCCTGGGTTTTCCAGTCTCCACAGCTCAAGCCAGATGGGATCTACCCAGAATCCCACAAAAGCTCTCAAACCCCACAATGCTTCCCATCCACATACAATGGTACAACACACCCTCTCCGCCCCCCCCGAGTGCGTCGACAACCACTTAATACAAATTCCATACTCCCACTGCTGTACGCACACACCCTCCTGTCTTCATATAAACACACACACACACACACACACACAATCCCGCCCACAGACCCCCGCCACCACAGAGGCGTCTTTTCACCCGACGCCAACCAGAAACATTGAGAGCCTTTGCCCTTAGTTTTTGCACCCACCCACACACACACACACACCCGGGGGGGACGCAGGGACAAGGACTGGCGCGACCTTCCTTCGTCTGTCAGCCCAGCCGCCTCCAGGCGCCCCAGAGCAGCCAGTTATTCTCTTCTATCCCGTTAAGTCTTTTGCTCTTGCAAGGCACACACACCC